CAGACATTGTTTCATTCAGCTGTGCATGGGGTCGCTATGACTTGGTTCCAACTCAATGGCACCTGACAACAACAACAACAATGTCTAAATTGCCCATCCCTGTCAACCCTGTGTACTGAGAGGGTGGGAATGATCCTGGTTGTAAAGATTCGTTCCCTCTTTTAAGCTACTATAAGTATAGGTCAAGTTCATTAAATTGTAACAGATTACTCTTTTTTTTTCCTCTTCTTTCTGCCTCTGTTCGAGTTCTTTTCATCCAACCATTGAAACCAGGTCAAATGGGTGTTATATGCAAGTATTTGTGTTCTTGTGCATCTCCCCTCACTTCATATCAGCTGGATGCTTCATTCTCCACTCTAGTCCTCTGTGGCCACGACCCTGTCCCTGGGTCCACGTGTCCCCAGGTCTCATCATACTGCTGGCCAAATAGGTCTCAATCTAGGTGGACAGGAGTCTGTTGAATGTGGTCAGACTTAGCTCACAACTTCATTTCTGGTTTTGCCCCACTTCCCCTTATTGGTAGACCAACGTGGTCACCAGCATGACCAAATGTCTGCTCCTGTATTCCTTATGAGTCTCAGTCTTGGAACGGAGTTTGCCCTGAGGGGACCTGACTGCTTGCCCTGATAGCTCCCCAGAGAACAACTTGCTTGTTCTTGTAGTAGTCCATCAGACTGCTGTTATTGTTTATTTTTCCTGCTGGATTCCTTTCAAGAAGTATCTTCTGTTGTTCTAGCCACTCCAGGCTGGTCTGCTTGGCCTTTAAAGTGGAAATTTCCCACCTCAGAAAATTCTGGATGGGATCTGGATTCCATCTACGGTTTTATGTACTGCAACGGCTCCTCAGGAAATCTCTTTACCTGGGCAAGTTCTAGGCCCATCTTAGGTATTTCAATCAGTTATAGGCTGAAGACGGACTTACAAGTTTTCTATGGTGATGTTTCTGGCTATTCATTTCTCTCCCCTTCAAGTGTCAATTTTACAGAAGTTGGCAAGGGAAACCAAGATTCAAAAGACAACCAAGCATCTTAACATTATTTCCCCTCTTTTATCAATTTAAACCATGCCTCAACCCCTGTATCCCAGAGCCCTGTTGTTCCAAGGTTGAGCATACATCACTGTTTACCTCTGTTCCACTGAGGGCATAAAACCTGCCTATATCCCTAGTTCTATGCCTTCTTCTTGGAGTCCTGGTGTGGCACAGTAGTTTAATGTGCTCGACTGCGAAGTTGGTTTGAACTGCAAGGTCAGTGATTCAAGCTCACCAGTTGCTCCTTGGAAACCCCATACAGGGTCTCTATGCGTCAGAATCAACTTGACAACACTTGACAGCAACAACATGTCTTCTCACTCTGGCTTGGATTTCTGGCAGTTTCCTGTTGATGTACTACTGTAACTTTTTTTTTTTTTTTTTTTTTAACAGGACTCTGGTTTTTAGATACCATTGAAAACAACACAGTTGTAACTTAATATCTGTTGAGAAACTACAAATAAATATGATGCTAATTAATGGCCAACAACTGAAAAGTCAGCAGCCATTTTAAAGCGCATGCAGTTGAGAGATACATCCTTTTGTAATCTTACACAAATGTGTTAAACCTTACACATGTACACCACTGTTAAGAAGGAGTAATAGTGTCTTTACCAGACAGGAGCACACCCCGATTCACCTGTAATTACTTCAGCTAATGCACCAAACGGCTTCCTGAATCCTGTGGTGTGTTGGTCATGGGGATGCCAGAGGAAGGAAAACACTGGTCAACAGGAAAGCAACTGACCACAGCAAGACAGAATATGTTTAACTTGTTTAAAGTTCCCACTATACATGAGAATGGCAGCATTGGTTAAGGCAGAAGTCACAGTTTCCCGTTGAGGGAACTTAAACACTACCACTACAGAGAGGTTATTAGGCTGTTACTTTATTATCAGAACAACATCAATAACTGCACTTAGAATCAAAAGGACAAGAAAGAGCCCAGCGTTGCTCTGTGTGAGTGGACTCAAACGTATAGGGAGCTGGAATCCACTCAAGCACTACCTTTCACAGGTCAAAGAGAAAGATACAGGCAGGATTGATCTGCTGGAATCTGGTTTTGCTACATTCTAGTCACAATCCCAAATAGAATTTGTGTTTCAACCCAGACAGATGCCTGGTCCACTATTGCAGCTACTTTCAGTCAGGAGGCCTCAGCCTGCGAGAAAGAGCACGTTAAGCCTCTGAGCAGGATTGCTTAGAAAGTCCTGTGTGTGAGGAACTCTTTCGTTTTCTTAGGTATTGGCAGTGCGAGGACTTTGTAAATTGTCAGGAAACCGCGGAGAGCTTTTCGTCACAAGTGTTTCAGTGACAAGTGGACCCGAGGGGCTATCCAGATCTGGGCATGGCCATCTCTTGTCCCCTTGGCGATCACTTCCACCGTGTGGAAAAAAGGTGCAGCAAAGACCGTTGGTCATGGGAGCAAATGCAATGGCAGATTTCAGTTCCAGGGCCCAGATCCTGAGGAGTCTGTCATCTGCCACTGTGGCAAGGTACAAGCCTTCAGGAGAGAAGCAGACAGATCTCAGCCAGCTGATGTGGACATCACTGTCGTACATAGGAGGGTGCAGCTGGGTGTGGCGGAGTGATCACAGCCTATTGCCGAGGTAGGGGTCCCACATGGTCACGTTGGTATCATAAGAAGCAGTGACAAGCAAGGCCGAGTCGGGGGAGTAGTCACAGCATATGGGTACCCACTTTGACATAACAGGAGATGTGGCATTTAGAGATCTGTGCTCAAGGTATTATCATGCAGTCATGTACAAAATAGAAAAATGTAAAATGCAGTATGAGAATATTATTTAATATTCCCAATTTAGAAGATAATTAGACAAAGGATGAAACATGAAAGTGGTGTCACATGACTTAACAAGATTCAATGACTCATACCACTGAAGAAAAGGCAGTGATGCTTACCCTAAATGTGGGTTTCTTTAGCCTGATAAACACAGTGATCAATTTCATGATATTCATTGAGGAAAAACAACAAGGAAAGAGTGTTCCTCATGGTGACATGAGAGCTCCTTAGCTACCTTGAAGAATATAAAAGGGATGAGAGGGAAGGAGACATCAAACTCAAGAACCTCACTCTCCTGGAAACACACCCAGAACTTCCACCCTCTAATACCATGGTCAACTCCTGTTGTGGCTCCGTCTGCTCTGACCAGGGCTGTGATCAAGGCCAGGAGAACTGCTGCAGTCCCGGCTGCTGCCAGCCCACCTGCTGCCGCCCCAGCTGCTGTGTGTCCAGCTGCTGCAGGCCCCAGTGCTGCCAGTCTGTGTGCTGCCAGCCTACCTGTTGCCGCCCTAGCTGCCCTGTGTCTAGCTGCTGTAGACCTAGCTGCTGTGTGTCCAGTTGTTGCCGCCCCAGCTGCTGTGTGCCCAGCTGCTGCAGACCCCAGTGCTGCCAGTCTGTGTGCTGCCAGCCTACCTGTTGCCGCCCTAGCTGCCCTGTGTCCAGCTGCTGTAGACCTAGCTGCTGTGTGTCCAGCTGTTGCTGTCCCAGCTGCTGTGTGTCCAGCTGCTGCAGGCCCCAGTGCTGCCAGTCTGTGTGCTGCCAGCCCACTTGCTGCCGCCCCAGCTGTTGCATCTCCAGCTGTTGCCGCCCCTCCTGTTGTGGCTCTAGTTCCTGTGGTTCCAGCTGCTGCAGGCCCAGCTGTTGCATCTCCAGCTGCTGCCGCCCCTCCTGTGGGAGCTCCAGCTGCTGTGGTTCCAGCTGCTGCCGCCCCTGCTGCTGCCTCCGCCCAGTCTGTGGCCAAGTCTCCTGTCAAACCACCTGCTATCGCCCAACCTGTGTCATCTCCACCTGCCCCCGCCCCACCTGCTGTGCCACCCCTTGCTGATGAATGCCCTGCCCTAGATCCATCTCTTCCTCTGCCTCTCCCTCCTCAGATGGAGCCCCTACTGTAGTGCTGACACATGGAATGGGGTTGATGCTGCTCAGTGATTGTGGGACATGATTTTAATGAACCAGCCACAAGCCACTGAATCACTTAGCACATTTAAGCTTTAGTCCAAATCCTTTCCTTGTGGACCACTTCTTTACATCCAAGCATGAAATTTACTTATGGTATACCAATTTTGAACTAACAAGTTCTCCAGAAATTCTCGTTTTTTAAAATTTGGGCAACAGACCATCAAACTTAAGATGCTGGAGATTCATTTCAGTACATTTACAACACAGACTTTTATAGTTTTTCTTTTGATCATCTAATGAGGTTTCTCTTCTATAATTCCTGCTCCTCAAAAATTTCACCCCTCTGTATCAAAATAAATCACCTGAATAAAACTTCCAGTGTGACTGTGCTTTTCCTTTTTTAAAAATATTTTGTATTCTGCCTGGACAGATGTATTTAGTCTACAATTATAGGACAGACAACAGAACTTTGTTGACTTCACAAAAGAGATTAATTTATATTAGCTGCAGTTTCATTTTCTATAGCAGTCTTTACTTCATAGCAATATTGGCATTCTTGTGAACAAAAAACAGAAAAATATTTTTTGGTAAATACTGTGAACAATCATTGTTCTGTAATACAACATCTGTCAATAAGTCTGTGAACATAATTATAAAGCTAATGGAATGGGATGTCAGAAGCTAGAGGTGTTGGTTTAGAAAGCCAGAAGGTTTTCTGCTTCCGCAAAGATATAAAACTTTAGAAGACCTATACAGGGTCACTATTAGTCAGAACAGACTTAAAGGCACTTAACAACAACAACAACAACAACAATGAAAGCCTGAGAGGGATAAATCAGTATTAAGGAATAGCGTTAAAAGCTAGAAGGTTTTCAATGGCAGCATGTAAGTAGAATCAAACTCCGGAATCCACAAGACAGAAAAAAACTGAGGACCAAGCCTAGTACTTCATCATCGGAGGAGAAGAGTTCAGAGATGGCTGTGTTCTCTAATCAGTTTGTCATGCTAGGATCAAGGAACTAAGTGGGAAAGAATTGAATCCTGAGATGTGGTTTGGAGACATCTAAAGTGATGTTTTTGAAGGTCTTGAACTTCCAGATTTACCTTGGAGAAACTGGGCTTATAAAGGAGATTTAATCTCTCATCTTGAAGATGTTGCAGAGACCTCAGTCTAGAAAGAAAACACAGGGTCCCTTTGGTATCTCCTCTCTTCTTTGTCATAGGCTAGTATCTAGAGGTAAGCTGCAACACAACTAACACAGACAACAGCTGAAGTCTAAAGGATCTGCAGGAACCAAAAACTGTTTCTTTTCTTTAAAAAAACAAAAACAAAAAACTATGCATTGTAAATCTTTTCTCTTTATTTTATAAACAGTATCTGTTGAAGGATAAAAAAAAAACATTAATAACTTTGATGATGTCCAATGAACTGTTATGGAATGGGCACAAATAAGGATTTTTTTTCCAATCAGTTAGCCAGGTAGCTGTCTTCCAAATTTCTTGGCATAGTTGAGTGAGTGCCTCCAATGTTGCATTAGTTTGTTGAAGCATTTAATTTGTATTCTATAAATTCTTAATGCCTTGTTTTTTTGCCAATGCCCTTAGTGCTGGTTGGACTTCTTCCTTGAATATCGTTGGTTTTCATCATATGCTACTTCTTGAAATGGTTAAACATGTGTCATTTCTTTTTGGTACAGAGACTTTGTGTATATCTCCCATCTTCTTTTGATGTTTTTTACATCATTCAATATTTTGCCCATAGAATCCTTTAAAATTGCAACCCAAAGCTTAAATATTTTCTTCTGTTCTTTCAGCTTGAGAAATACTGAGTGTGTTCTTCCCTTTTGGTTTTCTAAATCCAGGTCTTTGTACACTTCATTATACTCCACTTTGTCTTCTAAGTGGGCCTTTGAAATTTTCTGTTAAGCTTGTTTATCTCCTCATTTCTTCCATTAGCTTTAGCTTCTCTACACTCAAGAGCAAGTATCAGATTCTCTGCTGACATCTACTTGGTCTTTGCTTTCTTTCCTGTCTTTTTAATGACCTTTTGCTTTCTTCTTGTATGCTGTTCTAGATGTCATTGGTCGTTGGTGTCTAATACACCAAATCTGTTCTTGAGACGGTCTCTATATTCAGGTAGCATATATTCTAGGTCCATTAACAACCTGTGATGTGCAGATGATACAACCCTTCTTGCTAAAAATGAAGAGGACTTAAAATATTTACTAATGAAGATCGAAGAGCACAGCCTTTGAGATAGGTTGCACATCAACACAAAGAGAACAAAAATCCTCACCACTGGACCAAAAAGTAACATCAAGATAAATGGAGAAAAGATTGAGGCTGTCAAAGACTTCATTTTACTTGGATCCACTATCAACAGTCCTGGAAACAGCAGTCAAGAAATCAAACGACATATTGCATTAGGCAAATCTGCTGCACAAGACCTTATTAAAGTGTTCAGGAGCAAAAATGTCAGTTTGAGGACTAAGGTACTTCTGATCCAAGCCATGGTATTTTCAAATACCACATATGCACGTGAAAGTTGGACAATGAATAAAGAGGATGTAGAAGAATTGAAACATTTCAGTTATGGTGTTAGAGAAGAATATTACAAATACCATGGCCCGCCAAAAGAACAAACAAATCTGTGTTGGATGAAGTACAGTCAGACTGACTGCTCCTTGGAAGCCAAGATGGCCAGACTTTGTCTCTCATACTTTGGACATATTATCAGGAGCAACCAACTCTCTGGAGAGGACATCATGGTTGGAAAAGTGGAGGGTCAGCAAAAAGCAGGAAGATACCCAATGTAGTGGATTGGCACAATGGTAGCAGTAATAGGCTCAAATGTAACAATGATTGTGAGAATGACGCAGGACTGGGCAGTGTTTCATTCTGTTGTGCTTAAGGTCGCTATGAGAAGGAACCAACCTGACAGCACTTAATAACAACAACAACAAATAGTTGTAAATATGAATAAAGAACAGTCTCTGACTTCATGGAATTTGCATAAGGCTAGGAAAAAAAGAGACATAAAGCAATGATGATAGAATTTGATACCCTAGATTACATAGCTGAAATTTGAATATTTTCCTCGGTTCCCTCTGCTTGAGAAATGCTGAGCATGTTCTTCCCTTTTTGCTAGTTAACTCTGGATCTTTGTCCATCTCATTATAATAGTTGGCCTTGTCTTTTCTAGCTGCCTTTGAATTTTTCTACTTAATTCTTTTACCTCCTCATTTCTTCCATTTGCTTTAGCATCTCTATGCTGGATAGCAAGTTTCAGAGTCTCTTCTGACACCTAGTTTGGTCTTTTTCTTCTTTTTTTTTTTTTTTTTTT